CAGGGGGAGGGGGCGGGAAGTGGAAGCGCGCCGGCAGCCACTGCTACTCAGGCGGCCGCGGAGGGGCCATGGCCTGGCGGCGGTGCCGCCGCTCCGCCCCCCGTCCCGCCGCCCGGCTCCGCCAGGGGGAGCTCAGCCGGCCCCGCTTCCTCTTCCTGCAGCGCTGGCGCCGCGAGGGGCGGGCGGTGGTGGGGTGTCTCTGTCCCGGTTCCCGTCCCGGAGCCGGCAGGGAGAAGTGCGGGTTGTCTGGGGGACGCGGAGGGCTGGGGGCCGAGGTAGGCGCCGCCATCTTAGCGGCTGGGCAGTGAGAGGCGGCCCTTGGGGGGCGCACGGATCCCCGTCGTTTCACCTCTACAAAGTTCTGAAATTTTGAGCGTGCCTGTTCCTGACGTGTGTGTGCGCGTTTATTTATGAAGGAGGTATACGCGTGGTAGACGTGCATCTTGGGACTTGTGTTTTTTTCTGAAGGCAGAAGCGCAGTGCGGCACCCGTGCTGTACAGCAGCACTTTCTCACGAAAATATGTGTGTAGGAGGGCGGCTGGGGAGCAGACGGTAATTTACTGGTGTAAACACATAGCAGAAAAGGGATAGGACTCGGGAATGAACGCACACCTCCACCACTCCCTTTCCTGTCCACGGGAAATCCGAGCCTGCCCTCCCAGCAGCGGTTGCCTGCTTGCACTGCAGGCTTGAGTAAGGCATCCATATCTTGGTGACAAATCTCCCAAGGTTAGCGTTTAGAGCTACCTACAGTGTGAAACCAATGGTAGATGAAGTGACTCCTGTGTCTCACTGAAATAACTATGCTCCAATGCCATGTGTTTAGCCTCCGTTCTACGTGTAGAAGTTATGCTACTGTAAAATACTGTTAATAGCATGTAATTTTAGTAGATTTGGTGAGATTATTGGCTTTCTTGCTAAAATGTACCTCACAGTGATGTCAAGTAAATGGGACGGGGAGCAGATTTACAGAATGAGCCTGAAAAAGCTGTTTAATCAATTAACTAGGAAAGAGATGAACGAGGAGGAATATGTGCAATAACCTACCATCATGGTGACTCAGATGTTGTTAGAAGTGAAATAAAAGCACTCTTGTCACAGTTATTGCTTTTTGTGTGTGTGTTGCCATTTTAGGTTGTTTGCTCCCCTCATGACTTTTTAATCAGCTTTAGTTACTTGTCCAGCAGCCCATAAATCCCCTGATAAACTGTTGGGGTGCATGCACCAATTGACTATATTGCAGACATGATCAAACTTGTCTCTGGAACAGGCTGGTTTGGTGTGATTGCATCGTGCAAGTGACATTTGTCTGCATGGGGAACAGACTCACATCCTGATTACTTTGAATTCTTGTTACTTCTTGATTTTTTCAATATATTTTTTCTCTAGAAAGATCTAAAGATGTATGGGTTAGAAATGGAAAAGTTTATCACAAAATCTAATTAATATCTGCATCATCCAGAAGTGGGATTTTTCATAGCTCCTAGTTTCTTGGGTATTATAGTCAGGTTTACTTGTAGTCTCTGGATAATTAAGAATTAGCACCTGCTTATACTCAGGTGGGTTTTTTTGTTTGTTTGTTTGTTTTGGTGTTTTTTTTTTTTTTGGGGGGGGGGGGGGGGTTAGGTTTTTTTTTGTTTTTTGGTTTTTTTTTTAGGTTTTTTTTTTTGTTTTGCCTGTATGAAAGGCACTGTTAGTGCCAATCTTTATCGCTGTGTCACATGGAGTTCTCTGCAGGAGGGTTAGAACTAGATGATCTTTAAAGTCTCTTCCAACCCGATGCCATTCCATGATTCTGTGGCGTTGCATCATAGAATATCCCCCTTAGAAGAGATCCACGAGGATCACTGAGTCCAACTCCTGAAACTACACAGAACAATGCCAAAATCAAGCTGGATGTCTGATAGTGTTCAAATGCTTCTCGAACTCTGTGAGCTTGGGACCATGACTACACCATAAGGGGGCCTGTTCCATACCCACCACCCAGTGGCAAAATACCTTTTCCTATTACCCAACCTGGCCCTCATGACACATGAACACATTTGTACCTGATCCTGACAACTTATCGAAAAGTACACCGCTAGTGCATGGGCAGCTACTGTTACTATCTTAGGTACTCAGTGTGCAATCTATTGGCTTTTGAAAATTAAGAATGAGTTTCACAGAATCACAGAATGGCCCGGATTGGAAGAGACCTCAAGGATCATGAATCTCCAATGCCCCTACCACATGCAGGGACACCAACCTCCACGTTTAATACTAGACCAGGCTGCCCAGGGCCCCATCCAATTTGGCGCTGAACACTTCCAGGGACGGAGCACCCACAACGTCTCTGGGCACCTGTTCCAGTACCTCACCACTGTCTCTGTAAAGATCTTCCCTCTGACATCCAACCTAAATCTTCCCTCCCTTAACTTTAAAACCATTTCCCCTTGTCCTGCTTTTCTCTACCCTTTCAAAGAGTTGATTCCCCTCCTGTTTGTAGGCTCCCTTTAGGTATTGAAAGGCTGCAATGAGGTCACTCCACAGCCTTCTTTTCTCCAGGCTGAACAAGCCCAGCTCCCTCAGCCTATCCTCATAGGGGAGGTGCTCCAGTCCCCTGGTCATCTTCGTGGCTCTCTTCTGGACTCTCTCCAACAGCTCTCTGTCTTTATTTTACTGGGGCTCCAGATCTGGACACAGTACTCCAGATGCGGCCTCACAAGGATGGAGTAGAGAGGGACAATAACCTCCCTGTCCCTGCTGGCCACCCCTCTTCTGATGGAGCCCAGGATACCATTTGCATTCCGAGCTGCAACGGCACATTGCTGGCTCATGTTAAGTTTTTCATTTATCAAGACCCCCAGGTCCTTCTCCGCAGGGCTGCTTTCTAGGACTGCTCCTTCCACTCTGCATGGATGCCTGGGATTCCTCTGGCCCAAATGCAAAACTCTGCACTTTGCTTTGTTGAATCTCATCAGGTTCACCTGGGCCCATCTTCCCCAGCCTGTTGAAGTCTCTCTGAATGGCACCCCTTCCTTCCTTCCACTGTGTCAGCCACCCCACTCAGCTTGTCGTCAGCAAACTTGAGGAGGGTGCACTTGATTCCATCACTGGTGATAAAGATGTTAAAGAGCACCGTTTCCAAGACAGACCCCTGGGGGACGCCACTCATTATTGGTCTCCACCTGGACATAGAGCCATTGATAACCACCCTCTGTCTGCGGCCTTTCAACCAATTTCTTATCCATCGAGTGGTCCACCCATCAAATCCACATCCCTCCAGTTTGGAGATAAGGATGTGGTGGGGGACCATGTCAAAGGCCTTGCTCAAGTCCAGGTAAATGACATCAGTCGCCTTCCCTTTGTTCACAAATGCCATCTCTCCATCTCTTTTCTGAGGTTTTTGGAGATTAAGTCAGGTTGAAAACAGGCTCCTAACATTTAGACATCTCTCAGATAAGTGACGGATGGATCTCCTTAGTACTTTTATCACCCTTAAAACTGAGATTCAGGACAACACATAGAGTCAATCAGAGACAAAAATGGGACTGAATGAAGACAATGATGTGTGTACATCTAACTGCTGTTCTCAATGCCTAGTTACAGTCTTCAGTGTGGTATTAGATACAATTCTGTACTTAAAACCTTTTTTGTTAGATTTGGGCTCACGTGTTAAGCACTGGGGAAAGTGAACTACATCAGTGCTTTTTGGAAAGATGGCTAAGTGTGTGGTGGTACTTTAGATGGTGGTTGAGGTCTCTGGTAATAGTAACTATTTGACTTTCTGTTAATTTCATAGACCTCTCTTGAGGGTATACATCAGCCAAATGATAGTTTCTGTCTTTTATATTTTAGTAGTTTGATTCTTCTATAACTCTGTGTGTGTGTGTGTGTGTGTGTGTGTGGATGAGAATTAAAAGCACAGAGGAAAGCATTCCAATTACAGTTGTTCGTAAGGTTCATTTCCTTTCTGAAATTGATGTAGAAATATGTATCTTGAAAATAATGAGTTCTCTCTTTTGTGAAAGTGGAGTCATCATTATCAAAATGTCAGTGTTGTGAAGATCAGATAGGATTTTAAGAAAGCAGAAATTTTGCTGTTACTTTTTTTTCTTTTCTGATTGACACAGTCTTAATTAGCCGTATGTTGGGTTTGAGGACTGAGTATAACCTGTGCATTCCCAAATAGAACAGTTTTTAAAGATTTACTCAACAAACACATCTGAATGTTGAAGGAAAAAGAACACTTGAGTTGCATCCATCACAGGCATTGTTCATCTGTCAGAAAAGCTTTGGTTAGAAGAGAAAATCTAGAACTGGGTAAGACTGTGTTCTGCTTCAATAGTCCATGTCTAATGTTTGAAAGAAATTACATTTCATGGAAGGTCATCACTTACAGATTGTTTTAAATCTCAGGATAATATGGGTGGAGTATGGAAAAATGCTCAAACATGAGTTAGCTGCAGTAGAGCTGCTTGTTCTTATTGTTGTAGAATAGAATTAAGAACTATGTTTAAGATAGGCAGTAGGTCATATGCTAAGCAAGAAGTAAATCTTTGTGACCAGATGAATGGACATGAGATGTTTAGTCCTAATGTCTGGGTATCTTACCTAAAATTTAATGAGCTCATACGGCTTAGAATTCAGGCAGGTTTGTTAAGGACAGACAGAAGTGTGCATTCATTATCATAGCCCTCTGCCAAATTTTGGGTTCCAGCTCTCTTAAAATTGTCCTATGTGGCAACAGTAGGAGTTTTGTTTTTTTTTTTAAGAAGAGCACAAGCTATCGGTATGTTCCTCTGACCTAATTAAGAAAAAAAGCCAGGTTATTTTTTTTTTTTAAAGGGGAAACTTCACATTATGTCATACTTTCAATACGTGGGGTTTTTTTTGTTCGTTTGTTTGGGTTTTTTTTGTTAAAATATTAAGTTTAAGCAATGGAAGAATGATAATGGAAAAAGTGGTGGAAGGTGTTGGATGTTCTCAACAATTACTATCTACAATATCTACAAGAAGAATGCTTGCTTCGGCACATGTACTAAAATTGTAATGATAGAGAGAAGATTAGCATGGCCCCTGCACAAGGATGACATGCAAATTCGTGAAGCGTTCCATTTTTTTTTTTTTGAGGTTCGACAAGGCCAAGTGTTGGGTCCTGCACTTTGGCCACAACAACAACACGCAGCATTGTAGGCTTGGGGTCAAGTGGCTGGATGATTGTGAAGAGGAATGGGACCAGGGGGTGTTGGTTGATCATGACCTGGGGGTGTTGGCTGAACGTGAGCCAGCAGTGTGCCCAGGTGGCCAAGAAGGCCAACGGCATCCTGGCCTGCATTAGAAATAGTGTGGCCAGCAGGAGCAGAGGTGATCATCCCCCTGTACTCAGCACTGGTGAGGCTGCACCTCGAGGACTGTGTTCAGTTCTGGGCTCCTCACTACAAGAAAGACATTGAGGCCCTGGAGCATCTCCAGAGAAGGGCAAAGAAGCTGGTGAGGGATCTGGAGCACAGATGTTATGAGGAGTGGCTGAGGGAGCTGGGATTTTTTAGTCTGGAGAAGAGGAGGCTCAGGGGAGACCTCATTGCACTCTACAACTTCCTGAAGGAAGGTTATGATGAGGAGGGATTTGGCTTCTTCTCCCAGGCAACAAACTGGACCCGGGGAAATGGCCACAAGTTGTACCAAAGGGGGTTTAGGTTAGACATGAGGAAAAACTTTTTCTCTCAGAGAGTGGTCAGGCACTGGAATGGCTGCCCAGGGAGGTGGTGTAGTCACTGTCCCTGACAGTGTTCAGGAGGCGTCTGGATGAGGAGCTACGAGATACGGTTTAGTGCTTGTGGTAGCAATGGTAATGAGAAGACAGTTGGACTAGATGATCTTACAGGTTGTTTTCAACCTTGTGATTCTATGATTCTATGATAAGAATCCCTTCTAGCTGTAAATGCAGGGATAGTTTATATTTTTTACAAGGATGATTATTATTTTTTTTGGTGAAACATTGTCTTGTAAATGCGAGTTTTTGTCATTTCACCTCACAGAAATCATGTGTGATTAAAGTCCATCACACGAGATGTAGATCTGACCGTGAATCATTTGCCTTGTCTCATTTGTGTGTTGGAAAGTGGATGCGTACTGTATTTAGGAAAACTTCAGGAATTAAAAGGAGAGGATTTAGCCTGGGTTGCTGAATGACAAGAGCTTGTAGATGAGCTGCAGTGTCCTTTGCCATGCAGATTATAGGCCAGAGCAGGTCCCTAGCAGCCAGTAGTATGGGACACACAAAAAAGTGCATAGAATGATAACATGATTTGGGTTGCAAGGAACCTTAAAAAATCCTCGAGTTCTGTCTCTCTGCCATGTGCAGACTTTCCCTTCTCCAGACTGGGCTTCCCAGAGCCCATCAAATTTGGCCAATGTCTCCAGGGATGAGGAATCCACAGCTTCTCTGGGCAATCTATTTCAGTGCCTCATCACCCTTTGAGTAAAAAAATTCCACCTAATATTTTATCTAAATCTCCCCTCTTTTAGTTTAAGACTATTTTCACTTGTCCTACCACTACCAGACTGTGTAAATGGTCAGGGTCCCTCTTGTTAATAAGCTTCCTTTAATGACTGAAAGGCTGTAATGGCATCTCCCAGGAACCTTCTCTGAGCTGAACAACCTCAGTTTGTCAGCCTGTATTTGTAGGAGAGATTCTCCAACCCTTTAATAATCTTCGTGTCCCTGTCTGTACCGCTCCAGCAGTTCCACATCTTTCTTGTACTGGGAACCCAGGCTTGGAGGAGTCCTCATGAGTGCATACTAGAGGGATATAATCACTTCACTTTTTCTGCAGACCACCTCTTTTTTCATGCAGCCCAGGATGATGTTGGCTTTCCAGGCTGCAAGAACACACTGCTTGCTCATGTCCAGTTTTTTGTCCACCAGGACCTTCAAGTCCTTTTCCACAGGGCTGCTTTCAATGTATATCTGGGACTACACCAACACAAGTGCGATGCCTTGCACTTGGGCTTGTTGATCTGCATTAGGTTCATGTGAGCCAACTTCTCAAGCTTGTCCCCTTGCCATCTCTTTGGATGGCATCTCCTTCTTCCAATGTATCAGCTGTGCCACTCAGGTTAGTGCCAGCAAATGTGCTGAGAATATGCTTGGTCTCACTGTCTAGTTTGTTGGTAAAGACATTAAAGAGCACTGATACTAACGTGGACCCTTGGGGGACACATCTCATCAGTGGTCTTTACCTGGGCATGTTGACCTACATTTTCACCTACAAATGTTTTCCACAACCCTCTGGCTGTGACCATCCAACCTTCTTGCTCCTCTGAGAGTACTATGCAACTTCTCTGGGCAATCTGTTACATTTCTTGGTTAGTTCTGCTGTTGAAAAGTGTTTCATGATATTCAGATGGAACCTGGACCTCCTCCTATGTTTCTGTTTATTCCCATTGCTTCTTATTCTGTCACTGGGCACCACTAAGACTATTCTTTTTGTATTTTGGCAACTTCTGCAATGCAGCACAGAGATGTCTTCTGCTGAATACTTCATGATAGCACCCCCAGTGTGCTTCATATTTTCTCTTTTTCCTTTCTGCAAAGACTTCCCCACTCTACATAACATCTTCTGAAAGGCTGTGAATTTATTCAAATTCCCTGAATTGAAGTATGCCTTTCATTTGTAAAGAAAAGTATGCTTTAAGAAATAAAAAAGCTTTGCAGAATAAATGCATAAGAGCAAGTATATGCAAGGAACTATGTTCACTTTGGTAAAAGGAAAAAAAAAAGTTCTCTTATATGAATGTTACAGGAGCTCAGGTAGTCTCATTTGTTCTTGAAGTGTATTCTGCCTCTCAATCTGCAGCATGTTAGATCTCAAAGCTTTTCAGCAGCTTAAACCACCCAGAGAGTAAGGAAAGAGTTGTAATGTATCCACTGTACACTAAGGGTTATATAAAGGTGAGAAATGATCTAGATAGAGTCCCACAACTAAATTAACAGTTTCCCAGAAGCTGGGATGGTTGACTGGCTAAGTGTTGAGGGAAAAAGGATGCTAAAGAATTAGCATGCACGGGATGAAAGTCTCATGGCAATAGACTGGCTGATCTTCATTTAAGAAGTCTGAAAGACATGGTACAAATTTCCAGTAGCAGATGATTTAGAGAAAGGCAGAAGTGTTATCAGATAACTGTAAAATAAAGAAGGTATTTTTGAAAGGTGCAAAGTAATCCAGATACTAAAATACATGGTCTGCTCTCAGAGAGTTTTAAAGCAAGGCTTTAAAACAAAGCTTGTAGGAGGGCATAATAAAGAGCATGGAGGTACGTAGGATAAAATGTCACATCTTTTTTAATCAAGGGTATATTATCTCAGATTAACAGAATACCATTTTTGATAAATTCTGTGATATTTTTAGGCACGAGGAATGGAATAGAACTATTCTATCTTGGTTATATTTGATTTATTGCCTTGTGGGAAATTATTAATTAAGCTGAGAATGATAAGAATCATTAAAAGAACTGAAAGTAGGTAAGGAGACTATAGGAACAATCAGAGGACAGTGGGGACTATAAAATGGGGAGTACTGGAATGGAAAGAAGTTACTAATAGATTTTTTTAAGATTGAATTTTGAGATCAACCTTGTTAATCTTAATAATTTCATTAGTGATGTTGACAAAAGAATTAGAAGAGTGACATACTTTCTGGTGACACAAGTTTAGACAGCAGAGTTAATGAAGGGGAGGATAAGAATATCAAATGGGAAAAATTAGCTGACTCCAAGGACAAGAGAAATGGAAGTGACTAATATTTAAAATATTAGAGTTCAACTTCATGAATTGACTTGAGGACTCATAGCATCTAGTTATCGTGTAAAAGACATACTGAGAAAAGATGAAGAGTACAACACACACATTTTAACACATTTTAGGAGGACTATGAGTACTGTAAGTAATGTATGTAGAAAAAAAGCATATATATATCTTGTATAATATACCCGATAAAGCTATACGAGGTAATATGAGACCCCATTTGAAAGCCTCTACAGTACTGGTTGTCTGCATTCCAAGAAAAATGCATTATGGCCAAAGCAGTTGAAGAGAAAAGCTACTAAGATGGCCAAGATAAGAGAGGGCTTACCATGGAAGGGGAAATAAAACAACTTGGCATGCTTAACCCTGCAAAACAGAGAGGATATATGTTGCCTCTTTTGAAAGAGATTGGAAAGATAAACATATTGGGAAGGTAAACAGCACTGATGGAAAAATGATGTTCAGGCAACAGGAAACTTTCTTTGGCACAAGAATGTTGTTAATGCTTCTAAATTAGAAAGCTGAAACAGCTTTCTAGCCATCAGGGCCAAAGTTGCTTATCTGTCTGGTGCCTGCTCAGTGAAATCATTTACTTGACATAACTACCTGTGAGAGCAGCAAGCAGTATTCATTGCCTAGGGAAGTCTTTTTCAATCTTACGTTGGCCAAATTAATGCTATTAAAAGTGTAAATAATGTAATGAATTCTAATCATGGTCTCTTTTTTTTTTTGTCTGAGTGTACATTGAAATGAACTGCTAGATTCATAATTTGAAAAAAATACATTTTAGATAGATGTATGAGAATAAGGCCTTGTTTTGAAGTGCAAGATGAAGTTTAGAGAGAGGATTTTAATGTTTTGGGTTTTTTTTCATCCCGAAGAAGGAGTATTGATCTCTTTTTTCCATCTCTTTAAACTTTGGACTAGTGAGTTGAGAGAAGAGGAGGAAGTTCTTGCAAGTATGACTTTTAATTTATATTACAATAGAGAGATGAGCCCTCTGTGTTTTGGGCAAGACCTGTGAGTGTATGGAGTGCCACAGTGTAGTGGAATAATCTGTTGCACAGGATTAAACAATTCAAGAATAATGGCTCATACAGCGGTAATTTATTTCTTGTTCTATCTAGGAAACAATTTGTTATTTCTTTCTTGCAAAAGCCTTAAACCAGAACACATAAGATAAGCAATTAAAAACCTGAAAATAAAAGCATGCAGATGTTTCTGTTCAGTGTCTGATTTGTCAAGGATAAGCTTGTACTGCATCATATCATGATGGAGTAGAGCTGCAGCTGCAAAGCCACTCTGGTAAGCTACA